GAAGACTGAGTACATGCATTGTGACTTTAGTGGCAGACGTTCTAATGATGTGAGAATTATCTTTTAAGGAAGACCAGTACCTCAAACCCGCATTTTAAATATCTTGGGTGAATCCTTCAAAAGGATGTGGGTTCTTTGTGATCATAAGGTTCCCCTACGGTTGAAAAGAAAATTCTATCATAGCGCCATAAAATCCGCATTATTGTATGGTAGCAAATGTTGGACAACGAAAGGTGTTGGGTTTCCTGGGATCTCATGAGCGAATCTAATTCCTAAGAGATCGATTCTAGGGTTTGCGCAGCGGATGTAAAACAAAAATTTAATAAACCCTAGAACCATGCTTCTAATGAATCGTAGAAACGTTAGAACGCTTACCTCAATCGATTCGGGGCTTGTATCAATTGATCTGTTCGTCCGATCACTCTAGGCATGAAGAATACCTCGCCCTCTACACGTATCCACACGTCGGGATGGATTCCAACACCTTGGAACTTGTCTGCTAGGACTAGAGATCTCGATCTCTCTTGTGTGCAAGGTTTTTTTTTTGGAGGCTTAGGGTTTTATTTTTCTTCTTTTTTTCTTCTTTTCCTTTTTTCTTTTTTCTTTTCTTAAAACCCTAGAAGACATTCTCCTTATATAGACTTTCCAAAATCCTAATTTGACAAGGAATAGATTACTAGGAATCCTAATCTAATTAGGTTTCCTAAACCTGTTAGAATTCTAATCTCATTAGGTTTCCTAGATGTAATAGAATTCTAATCTCATTAGGATTCCTATACATAATAGGATTCCTAATCCCATTAGGATTCCTATTCCAATTAGGAATCTCAATCCAATTAGGATTCCTAATCGGGATAATTTAGCACACGTACTTGTCCATCCCTATTGTGTGTGACCCTGTAGGCTCATTCGATATAGCAGTATAGTCCGAAATCTCTATTCCGGATATACAAGTCATAGGCGGTCTCTAGCAAGACACTATGACTACCTATCTCGAATAGAGTTTGTTTGTGATCATACTAAAGCCAGTGATGATTCCGACTGATGATCCTTTTGTATCGCGATATGATATGTCGAACATAAGGCATGGACAAGCCACCTTATCTGATTCGACTGCTTTCTCGTTCACTGAGTTCGACTGTCTGAAATAGACGACGTTCGTCTATAGTGCGGCCACACATTTCTACAGTCTTGCTCACACGAGGGGCCCAGCGATATCTCTCTCTTTTACGAGAGGTACAAATCCCGTCTTGACTATCTACAATCCAGTACATGATTCGTTTCGTTCCTGATACACGCCTTTATAGTCCTCCTGTTACGCAGGACGTTTGACGTAATCACAGCACGCAACTCCTCATGTTGGATTCTGTAGATATCTCAGGTCTTAGGATCCAATCATGGAATCGTCGTATGAGATTCAAGTCATGACGCTAGTCCATGTGACAATCTCATGCGGGTCAGTCCAGTATTCCGTTCTGCAACGAATACCTATGATTGTGATCGTATCCAATACCTATGATCATCTATGTGATCATCAATCACACATCATACTAGTCTTATTATGTCGTTATTCCCATAATGACACAAGACTAGGGAGTTTAGTATCATTCATAATGATACATGGATTTCATAACAGATCTAGCATGCAGGAACATGTAATGAACAAAATACTCTCATAAAAAAAAACATATAGAAAGTATCAATACATCGAATGTATCTGAACAAAGCTCATAATCAGTACATCATAGAGCACTAAACCAACAGTCGATAGGATTCTCTTTCGGCTCAAGGCATCGGCAACTACGTTTGCCTTGCCCGGATGATATGCAATCTCTAAATCATAATCGGCTATCAACTCGAGCCATCGTCGTTGTCGAAGATTTAAATCCTTTTGAGAGATCACATAGGTCAAACTCTTATGGTCCGTGTTGAGCTTAACCTTTTCACCATATAAATAGGATCTCCAAATCTTTAACGCATGAACTACCGCGGCTAACTCAATATCGTGAGTTGGGTAATTTTGCTCGTGCTTTCGTAACTGTCTGGATGCATAAGCAATCACATGTCCCTCCTGCATCAATACGCAGCCTAGATCTTGTTTTGACGCATCTGTATACACATCATATTGTATACCTGGTCGTGGTAAAGCTAATATCGGTGGGGTTGTCAGTCGCTTCTTGAGCTCTATAAAGCTCGTCTCACACTCCAATGTCCATTCAAATCGTACATTCCTTGCTGTCAATTTTGTCATTGGTTTCACCAATTTGGCAAAACCTTCCACGAATCGACGATAATAGCCTGCCAATCCTTGAAAACTCCGAATCTCCGTGGCGTTAGCAGGCGTCTTCCACTCCATAACAGTTTCGATCTTTGCTGGGTCCACCTGAATTCCACGAGCTGAGACTACATGTCCAAGAAAGCCAATCTCCTGCAACCAAAATGCACATTTGCTGAACTTGGCATACAGGTGATTATCCCTCAAACGAAGCAATACTTTCCGCAAATGCTCTTCATGAATTTGTTGGTCTGGAGAATATATCAGAATGTCATCAATGAATATAATGACGAGCTCATCCAGATAATCCATGAATATTCGGTTCATCAACTGCATGAAGACCGCTGGAGCATTCGTTAGTCCGAACGGCATGACGACGAACTCGAAGTGGCCATATCGTGTGCGGAAGGCTGTCTTTGGTACGTCCTCAACCTTCACACGAATCTGATGGTATCCTGATCGTAAGTCAATCTTGGAGAACCACTTTGCTCTTTGTAATTGATCAAGTAGCTCATCAATTCTTGGTAGCGGATACCGATTTTTTGATCGTTACTTGGTTAAGTCCTCTATAGTCAATGCATAGTCGCATAGTACCATCCTTCTTCTTCACAAATAGTACGGGTGCACCCCAAGGAGATATACTCGGTGAATGAATCCCTGCTCCACTAATTCATTCAATTGTTTCTTCAACTCTGCCATCTCAGTAGGAGCCATCCGATACGGTGTCTTCGATATCGGCTCCGTACCCGGTATCACATCAATAGAGAAATCGACTTCTCTTTGTGGTGGTAGTCCGGGCAAATCGTCTGGAAATACATCTCCGAATTCTTGAACCACTGAAGTGTCTTCAAGCTTCACATCAACTTCTTTTGCGGCGGTTATCACCATGAGAAAGGCATCACACCCTTTCCGAACCATACTCATAGCTCGGAGGGCTGATATAATCGGGAACGACTTCTGTACCTTGTCCCCAACGAACTCAAAATTTCCCATCGAACCCGTAAATTGAATAGTTCGTCGACGACAATCAATGTGCGCCCGATGTAGAGTCAATCAGTCCATTCCCAATATCAAATCATATCCTTGAATAGGTACGATAATTAAATCGGCAGGAAGATCCCTTCCACAAATTTGTAATGACACATCATGCAATACTCCACGCATAGGAAGGATCTCTCCACCTGGCGTATGTATCTGATATCGACTAGTAGTATCGATATCCGTAAGGGCTAACTCGTCAGCCTTTTCCACACTAAGAAAATTGTGTGTAGCTCCGGTATCAAATAAAGTATGACAAGAAATATCGTGTATGTACAAAATACCAGTAATAGCGGCAACATCGGGTTGCTCGGCGTCCTCCTCTGCAACAACATCATCAGTGATTGGTTCCTCAACGTAGTACGCCTCGCCCTGAGTATCAGCCTCTGCCGCCAACACGTAAACTCTCGGTGCAATGCCAGACTGCTGTAAAGGCTGAATGCGAAGAGGTCTAGCGTTTGTCAAAGTAGTCCCCTTCTCCGGGCAGTAGGTCGCAATATGACCCGGTCGTCCGCACTGGAAACATGTTGGAGGAGTACTGCATGGACCAAAATGAACTCGCCTACATCGGGGACAAGGCCTCCTCTGGGTCGACTGTGGTGGTGGTGGTTGAACTGCTGATGTCTTCCCTTTGTCTTGGGACTGACTAGTCTGGTCAGTACTAGTGGAAGGTCGACTAAGAAAAAATCTTTTGGCAGGGGTTCGGTCTCGGATTCGGGCTTCCTCCTGCTCCTCACGCTCGCCTCGCTCCATCTTCTCAAATTGACAGATGTATCGGCTAAAGGTAGGATACTCCAGCACCTCAATCTTCCTCCGCAGAGAGGGGCGTAGGCCAGCAATAAACTTCTGAATCTTCAGTCGCTCAGTCGGAACAAGATTAGCTCCATATCGCAAGAGTCTGGTAAATTCTGCCTCGTAGTCGCCCACAGAACGGTCACTCTGTTGGAGATTGATAAATTCCACGAGGCGATGTTCCTGGTCATGTCGTTTGTAATATTTCTCCTCGAACTCAGCTCAGAACTCATCCCATGTGAACTGATGTCCAGGAATAGTGTCTCGTACAACTCCATCCCACCAGTGGCGAGCCTGTCCGAACAGATGGTGGCTCGCTATCTCTGCTCGATACTGTAGCGGACACCGTAGATAATCGAAGTCATGAGTGATTCGTACCAACCAGTCCTCAGCAACCTCAGGGATCTGAGAACCCTCAAATCTCGGGGTGTTCATGGCCCGAAGTTCCTTGACCAGTGCAAGATAATCCATGGCTACTGGCGCATGGAACGCCGGAAGACCTGGTGGAGGTGGTGGTGGAACACACTCCGGTCTAGCCGCAGGTATGGCTCTAGCTGCTGGAGGTGGCGTCTGGGCCTGCCACATCCTCTCGCAGAACTGCTGGAAGTCTTCTGGCATAGGATTTGGGATAGGTGCTTCCGCTGCCCCGAGTCTAGGCGCAGGTCGTGCACGTCATGGAGGCATAATCACTGTAGACATTGAAAATGAGACTTAGTCCTGGTGACTCCGAGATCATGCATTAGCTTTTCAAAACATTGTCTATCATAAATAGAAAACTTTTTAATAAACATTTTTTTAAAATCTTTTCAAAACATTTTTACTGATATCAAGTTTTTTTTTGCATATTATTTTCCTAGGAAAGAACTGCTCTGATACCAAATTGTGACATCCCGCTTACAGGTTGTGCCACATGGACAAGTAAAATCGCAATCGGAAAATTTCGAAATATAAAATCACGGAAAAATTAAAACCATTCGTTTTAAATGTGATACAGCGGAAGACATTATAATACATGAATACGTTTACAAACGTACACGAAAATACCAGTACATGATACGAGTGGTGAAAGGTATAATACAAAAGTTCGAGGGTCACCATCCTCTTATTTTCGAAAATAAAATAAGTTCAAGGTAATTATACATGATCTGGAATTCTAACTGTCACCGGGTCCCTGTCTGCCTCAGTCACTGCTGCTGCTCACAACCTGAAACGTTGCATAACAACGTCCTAAGCTACATGCTTAGGGAGGAATTCGGGTGTAACCCGAGATTTCTATTTTTATTGAAAACGGCCAAGCAATATAGTCAATAATATAAATATACATGCGACGAGTTATATCAATCAAATCAATCATCGTTAAATCAATCAACAATCTCAAACAAAATCCATCAATCTTCTCTATGTGTATCTCCCACGTAGGTAAATATAACAACTCGTTCATGCCTGTTTCGAACACGAGGCGCAACAGTCCAAGCAAAATCGTTTGCGAGGACCTCAAGTGATCTTCATCGGTCACCGATATCACGACTCTCGGTACCGGTCATCCCCATACCCACTCCAAACATCGATCCCCGATGCCGCCGACTGCTGGGCGAAGCAGCTCTATGCCAACTCCCCCTCGCCGACCATCCGCCTCGGAAAATACTCATCAGACTCGAGCTCAAGACTTTCAGAGTATATCCATACCACCTCGCCGGGGGACACACGCAACTACCCGGGTCTCAGATTTATTTGCCAATCAACAGGTGACACACGCAAACCCGAAGTCCGTTCCATGGCCAATGGAACGTTGTCGCGGTTGCCAAAGAACCGTACTTCCTCGTCACGCATTCGAGTGACACACGCAAACCCGAATGCGTGAGTCTCTGGATGCCACAACCGTTTATCAAAAAACGGTGGTGCGATACGAAGATCGCCACAATCACAAACACGTCACCGCGGTATGATAATCGATCCGGATCGATTATCATACATCGGAGACTTCAGGAAATGGAATCATCATTTTATTATTTATAAGATTACCCGGCTACAATCATACGTTTCACAATATACGGATCCATCCAGTATATTGCTAACGCCATGCAATTCTACCCGTTTTAATTTAAACTCTACATCCCATATATGTACGGGTTATACTATTTCTATTATTATTATTTATTATTATTTTCTTTTTCAATAATCATTTGAGATTTATTTATTCATTTATTTATTTATTTATTCATATTATGATTTTTGTTTTATATATATTTCCAATTATCTTACAAATTTACAACCATAACAAAAAAACGATTTCATACATGATCACATTATAAATAAAATATCAGAACGTTATTTTCTACTCCAAAACAATGACAACTAAATTTACAAATTTAGCCCGAATCAATCAAATCTGCATACAACACTCAAACTCCGAAATCAATAAAAATAAAATTCTCAAAGCCACATCCAAATTCACTCACCTTGCTAAATGTGATACTCTTTGGCGTTGATTTATTTTCTTCTACTTACTCGGATGATCACCTAAAAAAAATATCATAATTCTATTACTAACTAAACGTACAATATTAGCTAAGAGGGTTCGAGAGTTTAATAACTATGGGATTAATTCTCAGCTTCAAAATGACTTCATAACCGTTTATATTTTCTTTTATGATTTAGTGCTCATTGTTTAAGCATTTAAAATATGTTACATCCTATTTATGCATTTAAATTATGTTACAACTTAGCATGTATGTGGATAGTAAGGAGGTCCGAAAGTCATAAGGTGTAAGTGGTTCGTTTTTTTTGTTTCAATCTTTTTGTTATTTATTTATGAATGAGTTCTAAACATTTCTTTCTCTTTTCATGAACTAGAATTCAATTTTTAAAGTATGTCATGAACCAAAATTAGCATGCATGGTAATTCGTGAAGGATCCTAGAGGCATATATTTTCTATAGGTTGTTCTTTGGTTTCAAATGGGTCAAAGCTCATTCATTTTTTTTTTTTTTGACATCATAGGACACTCAACGATAATAGTAAGATGATAACTTGAAACATGCAGTGAGTTATGATGATAGTTCAAAAGGTTGGCTTCTAAAACTTAAAGAATCTCACCACACATGTGCTAGAGGCAAAACAAGGCGAAATGGCTTTAGGAGTAGTTTGAATCTTCACCAGACGAACCGTAACTTGAAGAAGAAGGAGCATGCAACATCTTAAGGAAGATGTACATAGACTTATAGAGGAATGACATGGAAAACGATGGAGAAAGCTTACCAAGCGAAGAGGAAAGGATCGATGTGCGAGTTTCGACCGGATTTGCAGGAGTTTTCTTGTGACAAAATGAAAAGATGGCTGGATATTATAGGGGGAGAGAGTGAATCGTGTGAGGGACAAAGAGAGATGAAGAAATAAAAATGACAAGGACAAGAGTGAAGGTACTTAGGAAACATATAAACCGTGCATGAAGATGAATAATGGGAAAACTTGTATATTTTTGTTTTAATTATTGTGATATGATCGTGCAAGTTGAGAGGACAAGAGTGTGGGAGTGATTTAAAATAATGAGTGAATGAGGGATGAATGAAGTTATTGTCGTGCATTGTGGTGAGAAAAAGAGAGTAATCCATTATGGAAAAGTAGTGTTGAAGACAAATGAGATTAGCATATGTATTTCTTTTATTTTTATTAAGTGAGTGGGGAATGATTAGCACGGGAAATATTTTGATATTGGTGTCTACGTTTAGCCTGTGTTATGCCATCATTCATTTTTTTTTTAAATTAATTAATTTTATTTACAATTTATGCACACATTTTAATGGTGTGTTCTGCACAACATAGACACGTACATTTGTACCTATCAATATGCATATAATTAAATATGTAATTATATATTTATGCCTTTGTCTCCTTACTAACTTTAATCTTGAACTTTCATATTATTTATCGATCAAATAGTTGTTGGTTTAGTGTTCTATGATGTACTGTTTATGAGCTTTATTTTGATACATTTGATGTATTGATACTTTCTATGGTTTATGAGAGTATTTGATTCATTACATGTTCTTGCATACTAGATGTGTTATGAAATCCATGTATCATTATGAATGATACTTAACTCCCTAGTCTTGTGTCATTATGGGAATGATGACATAATAAGACTAGTATGATGTGTGATTGATGATCATATAGAGGATCATAGGTATTTGGATACGATCACAATCATAGGTATTCGTTGGAGAACGAAATATTGGATTGACCCGCATGAGATTGTCACATGGACTAGCGTCATGACTTGAATCTCATATGACGGTTCCATGATTGGATCCTAAGACCTGAGATATCTACGGAATCCAACATGAGGAGTTGCGTACTTTGATTACGTCAAACGTCCTACGTAACAGAAAGACTATAAAGACATGTATCAGGTACGAAACGAATCATGTGCTGGATTGTAAATAGTCAAGGCGGGATTTGTACCTCTCGTAAAAGAGAGAGATATCGCTGGGCCCCTCGTGTGAGCGAGACTGTAGAAATGTGTGGCCGCACTATAGACGAACGTCGTCTATTTCAGACAGTCGAACTCAGTGAACGAGAAAGCAGTCGAATCAGATAAGGTGGCTTGTCCATGCCTTATATTCGACATATGATATCGTGATACAAAAGGATCATCAAACGGAATCATCGTTGGCGTTCGTAGGATCACGAACAAACTCTATTCGAGATAGGTAGTCATAGTGTCTTGCTAGAGACCGCCTATGACTTGTGTAACCGAAATAAGAGATTTCGTGTTATACTACTATATCGGATGAGCCTACAGGGTCACACACACAGGAAAGGACGAATGCGCGAGAAGAGACGAGAAAATCCCGGTGGAGCGGAGGCCAGACCGATCGGTCTAGACGTAGACCGTCGGTCCAGAGGTAACGTGTGAGGTCCGGAAATTGTTCCAGACCGATCGGTCCAGACGTCGGGATTTACTAAACTCGTTCTAATTAGGGTTTTAATGTGGGAAAACTTAGGGTAACGCCACCCAACTCTTTTGGCACGAATTTCAGACCCTAGGGAGAGGTTTTGAGAGTGAAAAGGCTAAGAGAAAGATCCCTGAAACCCCTGCGTAAAGAAGAAAGCGTTCTTCAGTCCTAGCAGACAAGTTCCAACTGTTGGAATCCTTTCCGCCGTGTGGATACGTGTAGAGGGCAAGGTATTCTTCCTGCCTACAGTGATCAAACGCGTTCTTCGATTGATACAGGCCCCAGATCGATTGAGGTAAGCGTTCTAACTTTTCTACAAGA